ATTGCATATATAATATTATTTTAATATCTGCACAAAAAGGATTTGGGGAATAAAATAAAATAGTTCCACCAAATTATAGAAATTATTATATCGGTGTAGGGCTTAAGACATCAGCTAGAAAAAGGGAACTATGAGTTTTAATCTGTTTTTAGGCACAAAACTAGCTAGGTGACTTTAGGTCAATCACTCTGTCCCAGCCCTAGGAAGCAGACAACGGCAAAATCTTCCCAAGAAAACTACAAGGACAAATCCAAGGAATCACCAGGAGGGTTCAAGACTGACATGGATGCACCAAAACAAAGTCAACATATAAAAATTGGAATTATTAATCTGCAATCAGCAAAACAAAAACAATTAAGGGACATAAAATGGGAGCAAAGGTAAAATCACACAACTGAGGAAAGCAGCACTAAACAAAAAATCAAACACCCCTAATGTTTCTCCATATGTTTCCCTGCCAGCTTTATCTTATTAGCTTTCCCAAGGCTTCTGGGCAGGAGGATTGAGCGCCAGCCCCAGACAGAAAATCTGATGTTTCTATCCTAGCTGCTTTGAAGATCAGCACCTATTCACACAGAAGAAAACAAAACATTTTGCTCCCTTTGCCTGCCTGAACCATACCCCACTACACCTAAGCCTAAGGCTTTAAAACTATAGCTATCCTGTAGTACTCCAAATGAACTATAAGCCATTGTTGAGAATGGCAGAACCTAAATTTTAACACAAATAAGAATCCCAAATAACAAGTTTAATAACTCAGTGATGTAATAACTGGACAGCTGTTAAAGTTGGACCATTTTATGCATTTCTGCATAGTTAAGAATTGGCACTGCATCAAAAAGGTTTCTGCAAAATAATGTTTATTAAGAGTTCTGCAGCAAGATGTCATAGATTATATATTAAAAAATAACCTTGAACAGTTTAAGAGCACATTCACTATTCTATTTTCATTTGTTAATCCCTCCATAAACAGTTGTAAACTGATTTGAAATTGATTTGAGTCAAACATTACTTTCCCAGCTGATTGTGATGGGAGCACAAAAAAATGTATTCAATAAATATTCCCCCCTCCCCCACAACTACAGATCATAGAAAAACAACCATAATCTTTTCTCCACTTCACCCAAAAGGAAATAAATTGATACTAACCACCCTACCAATGTTGCTATGATAAACTCAAAAGTAAACAATGGTAAGGCAAAACCATGAGCATCCTGCCACCATTACTATATTACACGAGAGTAACTGAAGAGACAATCACACTACATTGGCAGTACTGTGATCAAATATCTTATCTCCAGTATCTCTAACAATAGTGCATGTTAGTGGAGCAACTGAGAGGCAAGAGAACAAAAAACTAAACCTTAATTCAGACAGTTTCTGAATTCTAATCTTAGTAGATTTTTGTGTGATTACACTCAAATAATTAAAATTTAAGCAGCCTATATTTCTAACAAATGTGCAGAATGGTCAATGGTCTATATTTGAATTTGATTTGCTAATAAATTTTTCATAAATTACTAAGATTATGCATAATTGTGTAACAGCAAAAGGGGGATTATCTGTTGTGTCACAGGTATTCCAATGATTCCAATGATTTAAAATCTTATTATTGTATTCTGTTAAAACAATGGTCATTTCTGACTCCTTCACATTGCTAGGAGTTTTCTTACATTGTGCAAGTTCCTGGTTGTAGGTCTTCCCTTTCTTTCCAGCAATCCTATTAAGGACACAGAACACAACTATCTTGTGTCCATATAAAGTGTATTGAAATATATGCACATTTAGAGATGCATAGCTCTCCAGTCCTCAATGTACGACCATAATAGACCCCAAAATTTATGTTGCTAAGTGAGACATTTGTTAAATGAGTTTTGCCCCATTTTATGATTTTTCTTGCCATAGTTATTAAGTGAATCATTGCAGTTGTTAAATTAGTAACCTGTTTGTTGTTAAGTGAATCTGACTTCCCTACTGACTTTATCAGAAGGTTGCAAAAGGTGATCAAATGACCCCGGGACACAGCAACCATCATAAATAAGGGCCAACTGCCAAGCATCCCAATTTTGCATGACCAGGAGGGTGCTGCAATAGTCATAAGTGTGAAAAAGGGTCATAAAGTCACTCTTTTCACTGCCATTGTAATTTTGAACAGTCATTAAATGAACTATTGTAAGTCCACGACTATTTAGTTTGTTAGTGTACCTGGGTTAGTCATAAAGTGCAATTACAAACTAATAACAATGTTCGAATTCTTTGAAATAAATCTTTCAGAACTTATGGGAGCATCTATAAATGAAATTATCTGTACATGCACATGCATACAATGACGTTCAAGATTTGCTCCTGAAGCAGCAGTATGAACTTGGAAAGGATGCAAGGATGCAATCCTAAAAGGGGTAATTTAGGCACACTTCTGCATGTTACAAAGCATTATGTAGAGTTTGAGCAACCTTTCTAGTGATTAGCAAATTAAGCAATGATTAGTTTCTTTTGAAAAGTGAGATGAGGCTAGAGAAGTACAGGCATTTCTGTAACAGCATTTTTATTTTTGTGGTTCTTTTCCATTTTATAGGAGAAATTCATTTTAGAAATAAAAGGACTGATATCAAATATTGGCAAAATGACTCTGTTCCTTATCAGTTCACACATCAATACTCTCACATCGAAACCCAAACTCTGAAATGATGCCTGCATAGCACTCCAAAACTGGCTAAGATACCAGTTGGAAAGAAAGTGCCCTGAGGTGTGAACCTTATTACAAGCACTAGGCCTCTGCAAACCATTAGAAAGAGGTGCTTTACAACACACAGGAACAAGCACATGTGAGACAAGTGATACTACTTTCAACACAGCTGCCCCCAAGTCTTGCAAAAGATATGTGGTAGTTATTTTAACAGGAGGTGCCTTATTCATGCTTCTGCACATTGAAAAGTACTTATTTTAAATGTTTAAATAGCTCGATTGGACAGGGGAAATCTACCTTTTTAACAGGCAAGAATGACTACTGCCTTTTTATTTGAAACAATAAATTAATAAACTAGGATTGCATACTGCTCAAAGTAAACTTTTTCACAAAAGTGATTTCGATAGAAAACAATATAGCTAAAAGAGTTTGAAAAGTCTGCCTCAACATACTTGGAATCTAGATCAGCATTTTCTATTTCTTAAAATATATTGGGACATCAATTCTGGATTGATTCTCAGAAGTATTACTGGGTTCAGTAAAGATGAATCATAATGCATATGGCTGCTACTTACTAACATTGGTAAAATTACACTTTTATTTACACTAGGGAAGATATATTTTATAATCCTTTCCTTAAAAAAATATGAAATGGTAAACGTGTGTCAGAATAGAGTATTCTCATGTGCTTTTCTCTTTACTTAGTGCTCTTTAATATGAAATACCTAGTTTGTGTTAAATCAGAATTTCCTAGAACATTCTTACTTATATCAGTTAAACCAGAAACAAATTATAAAGACAATTCAACAACTTTTAAAGGCCCAACCTGATTTGATGCCATGAAGTCAGATAACTTTCACAAAAGAATATATCTCTTCAATAAGACAAAGCTTAATGTTTTAATTCTGGCTTTTAGAATTATAATTGACTTGGTTTGATTTGTTTTGTTTAAATATCTATGTTTGGACTTCTAGATTATTTCATGCAATTATATTTTATTCAAGTTCTGTAACATTCATCCTCAAAATCCAGAATGATAAAATCAAAACAAGCAAGATTATATATCTTTAATATTTTTCCCCAAGTACAATTTCCAAAAAGACTATTTTGGAAATAGTAAGAAGCATTAAAAAGAAGGAATCTAATGCTAAATTTTAAAATCAGAATACTGAAGTATTAAGGAAAGGAAAACATGGAAACACCAGTATTTAATGTGTCCTATTTGATCAGATGTTCAAAAAAGGATCTTATTTAGGATTCTTTGCTTACTGAGAATGCAAATTTCTGCTGTTTGGCCATTAGTATTTTTAACCAAATCATACTTATTAAGTTATATTTATCTATCTAGAAAACAATTTATATTGGCATCATAAGACTCCAATGCTACAACCCAAAGGATGAAGCTTACAACAGAAGAGAAAGGATTTTCTGAGTTCTTCAAGTGATAACAATGACAGAGTCTGAATTGGTAGCATAAATCCGACAGCAAATGCCCTTTTCTGACCATCATCAGTCTTCAAATTTTGCTCTTTTTAAGATTAAAAAAAACACAACCCCCAAAATCCTAAAAGGGAGAGTTGATAGTATTACAAAGGTAGAATCAGACCATTTTCATAAACTGCACTCTCCAACAAACACACCTAGTAAGTACAGATTACTTCAAGAGCTGGGCTGAATAAATTTACCACCCACTGCTGAGAAAGAGCTTTTTGTTTTTTAAACAAAGTGGATGGAAAGACGCCTTGCCCTCTTCCACGCTGCAAATCAGAAGCAGCAACAAGACATTTAGATTGTTCTTACTGATTGCAACCCCTGTACTCCCTACTTCAGACACATATATGAGTACCTTCCTATTCAAATATGCAATTTTCCTAGAATTGTTAAATGTCATTCAACAACACATCCATTCTATAGTATAAGAGGACTTTCACTTACCATAAATGTAATTGATTTTACATGCCTCATTTTTATAAAACTCAACAAAGTGCAAGAGTTAAAACCATGTTTTTAAAAAGGCATCAGGCACACTATTTTTTTAAAAAAAGTTCACAATAGTTGCAAAATGACAAAAGTTCTGGTCTCTATCGATATAATTTTCTAAATTTAAAGTATGTTTGTCCTATTGCAGAACATCTATGCATCTTTTACCATATATTAAAGTCAGGAACACAGCAGCCACAACTAACACAGTCGTGTATGTTTTGTGATAATGTAGGCATAAACTTCCACTGCAGATTAATATCTGGAAATGTTTCTTTTACACCAAGGAGCAAGAGTCATAAAAAGCCGAAACCACGAAAAGAAAGTAAGTTACCTCTTGACTTCTTTCAGATGGTTTCTTCCTCAAAGCTAGTTTAATCCTGGGATCTACAAGGGATGTCATCCTATTACTCTTGTTATCCAATTACAGAGTTCTTCGGAGTTAGTTTAGGAAAGCGAGGCGAAGGAAAACAATACACGAGCTCGGGAGCGCGATTTTTTTTTCCTCCCTCTTCTTTTCAACTCCAGCCAAACCCCCGAGTTAAAATGACGTTGGTTTAAAGATTTTCTTTTTCTTCCTCCTCCTCCTTTCTTCTTCTTCTTCTTCTTCTTTCGTAACTAATCCCAAACAACTGGCAAACTCAAAGATTTCATGAAAAGAGGGCCGTAGCCAGCCGAGGGAACTGGAGATCGATCCACCGCCAGCCGCGCGTCCCGCCCGCGGTCCCTCTTCGGCAACCGGGCGGCTTGCGACTCTTCTTTACTCTCGAGGAAAGTCCCAAAAGTCTCGCCGGCGGAGTTTCTTTCTCCCCTCCGCCCCGGGTTTTCTCCGTCCCAAACTCGCCCCCTTCGCCGCTGCTGGGTTCGAGAAGCAGCCTCCCTAACCGCAACGTCCCAGCCGGCCACACTTGCAGGAAGTGCCTGCAAGTCCGGCCGGCTGGGACGGTGCGGCTGGAGAGCGAGAGGGAAAGAAGAAAATGTTTTTAAAAAAAAAAAAAAAAAAAAAAAACCGCCGCCGGGCCACCTCCTCAGGAGCCGAGAAACTCACCTCGCGGCAAGCCTCCCCGCACCCGAAAGGCAATCAAAGGCGCCCACCCACCGCCGAGCTCGCGGGAAGGAGCCCAGCTTCAACTGGGAAGGGGGGGGTGGCCGGGCAAAAGGGCGGGCGGCGGACAGGAGACGGAGGGGGGGGCGGTGGCTGCGAGGTCACGTGGCGAGGCAAAAGACGCCCGCTGGCTGGCTAGGCCCAGGCTGTCATTCAGCTCGAGAGGCAGGGCCTAGGGGAGCCCCACCCCTTTCTCCAAGACGGTTGTGGGGGGGGGGGTTGCAAGGGGTATAAAAGGCTCAGTTGGCGCGAATAGCCAGAAGGGGCGTCGCCTGAGGGGACGGATGATTAATAGGTGGGGTGGGGGTTTATAACGTGTGAGCTTTTCGGGGTCCTCCTGCCGTTGCTGAGTCGCTCCTCCCGGAGGACGAAATTGCCCTGGGCCTCTTTGTAAAAGGGGCTCGGCTGTACTTTCTGGGCACGCCCCGCGAGGCGGGTTTGCTTTGGGGAGGGGGGTGAGGGGAGCGGGTTTCTCCGCGGGGAGCGCGCTGCTGTTGCAAAAGCAGGGGAGGGGTTGGGGAGGGGAGGGGAGGGGGTGGAGAAGAAGGCGGACCTGGGATGGGGGAGCCCTGCCTGCCTGCCTGCCTGCCTGCCTGCCTGCCTGGGTTGCTAGCAGGAGCGGTGATGCAATCCGCTGGAGCAACTTTCTCCGGAGTTTGCCAGCCTGCGATGTTGGGAAGTTGACTCAGGACACTTAAAGCTCGGAGATGATAACCGCAGATCCCTCCGAGTCTAACCGCCGCATCCGCTTCTTTTCAGATTGCTCGCACGGTTGTAATAGCTGGGCTGGCTGGCTAGCTGGTGGACCAGGCGCATCTGGAAAGCACCTGGTTGGGGAAACCTAACGTGTTTTTTTTTCCATGGGTCAGCTCGGTAAATCAATAGCACCCCGCTCATCCTGTTTTGCCGATTAGCCTACTTATTTGCATTTTGAGCTTACTGTGGTGGATGCATGGCTATTACTATTGTGCAGATCTTCGGGAGAGTTTCAGTTTATTGAAGGCTCCAGGAAAGTTCCTCTTAGAAAACAGAAGGTTTTTTTTTTTTAAAGCATTGTGTTTCTGTGGATGGGTTTCTATAGAGAAACCCGTAGCGTCCATGAATCCCACTTGAGCCTGATTGGGCATTACCAAATTTTTGGGTAAGGTCAGGGGTGAAATCCAGCAAGTTCTGACAGGTTCTGGAGAACCGGTAGCAGAAATTTTGAGCAGTTCAGAAAACTGGCAAATACTACCTCCGGCTGGCCCCAGAGTGGGGTGGGAATGGAGATTTTGCAATATCCTTTCCCCAGGAGTGGGGAGGGAATGGAGACTTTGTAGTATCCTTCCCCTGCCACGCCCACAGAACCGGTAGTAAAAAAAATAGGATTTCACCATTGGTAAGGGTACTTTTTCATACACACAGGTCTCTTGACATCTCCAGAGGCGAGCTGCTCGTTAGATGTTGCAGAGATCTAATGTCTGTTGAGAAGTGCCTGCATTTCAAAATTTACCACTGGACCTATTTGGGATACTTGATTTTCTTTGGCAGACTGATCCCTTTGTCAAAGTATCAAAAAGCACAATTACAGCAGTTCTTTAATAATGGCTAGAGAAAGAACAATGGGTGATTATGAAGTTTTCCAAATGAAGCCAAGAGGAGACAAACCTCTTCATGTTTTCAACTAAAATTACATTCAATGATCATGCTGCAGTTTAAAAGCATGCCCCCCCCCAGTTCAAGATGTACTTTTTCAAACTTGCATTCTTTTCTGTTTGAGCATTCCTGATAGCTGTTAATGAGGCAGCCTTGGTATGGTACATGATAGCAAGAGGCAATATTCAAAATGGTATATTCCAGGGGTGAAATGCTCCTGGTTCGGACCAGATCGACGGATCCAGTAGCGATGGAGGCGGGTGGTTCGGAGAACCGGTAGCAAAAATCCCTTTCCCCCCCCCCCATGCCCAGCTGAGCCGCACAATCATCAGAGGCTTTTTTTTTTACTTTTAAAAGCATTTTTTCTACAACCTGTTCAGCCAAAAAATGTTTTTAAAACATTTAAAAGTTAAATGTTTAACTTTAAAAGTTAAAAAAAATGGCCACGCCCACCCAGTCACATTGCACCACCACCACCAAGCCACGCCCACAGAACCGGTAGTAACAAATTTTAGATTTCACCACTGGTATATTCTGTATACTTTCTAGGGATTCTTTCCTCCATTTTTTAAAAAAAACTGATCCATCAGCTCTTATATATTTTTGATTCATCATTATAGATTCTCTCTGTAACTAGGAAAAATATGATTAAATTTTTTTTCAGACCCATAAAAAAAATTATTCAGACCCATAGGTACTATGTACCAAGATTACATTGTTCTCTGATTTGTTGTTTCTGTCTTGGGCAGAATTAGAAGGAATAAAAATATGTACGACTTCAGAAGTTTTACATGAAAAAGAAAAGAATAACCATAGCTGCCATTCTAAGGAATTTTTGGAAAGAAATCCCAAAAAATACTTTCAAACACCAAAAGACTCAAAGTTAAGAAAACATTTTGGAAGAACTGTGAAGCGTCTATGGCTCCAGGATGAAGAATATGTTTTGAAGTTTTCTTTTTCTTCCACAAATGCCAGAGGTTTCAGCTATATTGCTGAATAGAGAGAGAATATGGATTTCTGGGACAAACATGGGCCAGGGGACATAGAACAGTGTGTTGGTTTATAGCCTGTGGGTTCCTGCAATCTGCAGTGTATGCAGATGTGAGAGAAAGATGGTAACATAGATGTCAGGAGAAGGATGGAAGTGTTTGTGGCTGTGTCTCCATTTATATGAACAGCAGTCTGATGCTTTGATGTGGATAATGAAGTGTAAATAAAAAGGGTGTGTGCTAATAGTCTGGTTCTCTGATGTGCCTGTGAACTGAGAAGAAAATCTTTATTACAGGGCAGAAAAATTCATATGTATTTAGGACTCATCCAGAGCCCCAAAACATATTGTGTACCTCTCTCCAGAATGTAATTTAAACTGAATGTTCAGTGTTATAGAAAAACATTTAAACATACACAGAAACAACCATAGTTACTTAATTAAATTCAGCTTATCTCCTGGGTCGGTCTACAGTTAAAAGTATGGCCCAGTGTATTTTCAAAGACAAGTGTAAGCTTGAAAAATAATGTGCACCCTTTCTGGAGGAACATTTGAATCCATTTCAGTGAAGAGTATGAAAAAAAGTATGAGTTTGTTCTATTACACATTTCACATTACTGTTTCCCAAGAATAGCTGTTCCATAACCATAGAATATTCTGTTTTTCCTTGGCTTGGCATAAAATACAAGCCACCCCAAAGAAAGAAACTATGGTAAGTACCATAAACTATAGTGTCTGAGCTTTTGTCTAATGCTTTAGCATGTCAAATCAAGCCCCAAACAAACCACATTACGGTTTAGCATGATGTGTGACCCAGAGCAAAGACAAAGCAGGGTAAACTTACTTGTGAGCATTTATGAACACAAAATGCAGCAATTGAAATAATCCAGATGGGCGTATATAGTTTAAAGGACACCTGATCAAGTCAGTGGATTAGTCAGTTCCAGATGAGTTTGTGTAGTCAGTCTTTTGTGCTTGAATGCAATTCGTGCTTGAAGTGTAAGCCATGCAGTGGCAATTTCACTCTTAATTAAAGCAAAAAGAATCTTTCATCATTTACAAGTAAGGAAATCAGTTGAACACTAGAAAACACTGATTAAAATTTTTTCAATTTTGTATTGGGTAAACTAGATTTTTTTAAGCTTTGGTGGAAATTCAACCTTAACACACTAACTCGTGGTTTGGGTTTGTTCTATTATACATATTGTATTACTGTTTCCCAAGGATAACTTTTACAGGTAGTCCTCAAGATCCTAATTATCAGAATGTCCACTGCTAAGCATGGCAGTCGTTAAGTGAATCATGCCCAATTTTACTAAAAAAATTTTTTTGCCATGTTTGTTAAAGGAATCATCCAGTTATTAAGCAAATCTAACTTCCCCCATTGACTTTGCTTGTTGGAATCCCTCTGGGAATGTCACAAATGGTGATCACGTGATCTTGAGATGTTGCAACCATTCAAAATACATACCAGTTTCCAAGAGACCAAATTTTGATCACATGACCATGGAACTGCAATGGATATAGGTCACTTTTCAGCACACTTGTAACTGAAGATTGCTAAACAAAGGACTAAATCAAGGACTACCTGTATTTTTGAAGTTTAGCAAGGCTTAGAGCGTTCTTTGTTCAGATTAAAAACTCTTATTTTGAAGAAGAGTAACAAAGGGGACTTTTTTAAAAAGGCCAAATTTCTTTGAGTTTTGTGCATAAAATAATTTTACAGACATTTTTTTCTTTTTAAATTTCACATATGGCATTTACATTAATCTGCCAATTTAAACCATATAATTTGTTACTAGCAATACTTTATTGGACTTATTAGTAGTTTTGGGTGATTAGTATTTCATATATTTTTTTAATTAAATACTTTATGTTATGCTGTCTACATCCCTTCCCAAACCAAGTCTGCATTATACAGATAAAAACACTGAAGGGTGGTAGAAATATGAAAAAGAGATACTGTGAGATTGCATAGTCCATGCTTGTCATGTTACAAACAAAGCCTTAATCTGCCATTACCACTGGTCTAACATTAAAAAAAATTATCAAAATATTTTTTTTCTTCTGACTCAAAAAGCCAAGTTTTTAGACACATTTTTCAGCATGCTAAAACACAGGTTTGAAACTATGCTCTTTTTTGTATCTTGTTGATGAGGAAAGAAGTGCATTTTACCATTCTAATGAATGATTATAAAATAACTCTTAAAAATGTGTTAAGGCAGTGGTGGGATTCAAATAATTTAACAACCTGTTCTCTTCCCTAATGATTTCTTCCAACAACCAATTCACCAAACTGCTCAGAAAGTTAACAACCGTTTCTCCCGAAGTGGTCCGAACTGGCTGAATCCCACCACTGTGTTAAGGCCATGTGAAACCCCTGTACAGGTAGTCCTCATCTTACAACAATTC